AGAGAGAGAGAGAGAGAGAGAGAGAGAAAGAGAGAGAGAGAGAGAGAGAGAGAGAGAGAGAGAGAGAGAGAGAGAGAAGATTAGTGTATGTGTGTTTTTACAGGAGTATTTGAAAGTGTGAGTAATTTTTGTGTTAACTGGTTATTCTGTATTGTCTTTTTGTCTTTATTTAATACATGTAGATACATGGTCGGCCTGTACATGTAACAGGCCCTTAAGCGTGTGTCCAATCCACCACCATCTTTTTTCCTGATCTCGCTTTCGACGAGTTGTTGTTTCGTTCTCCATACATCATGTACATGACATACATTTTTTATAACAACTGGCCAGTGGATTTTCACGATCTTCCTACGGCAACCACCGATGAATGACTGTAATTTGTTTACTATCTGCAGTACGACGTGGAGAAATTGTCTGTATCTTACACCCCCACTGACACAAATTACACCAACACTAGAAGAGGGTCGCCTCGACCGTAGCTGATAATGACGCAATGCCTAAGGTCAGCATTATTCCCATTCGGGGCTCGAACTTACAAGCTCTGAGTACCACTGCCAAGAGAATAACCGTTACACCACAGATGCCAGTATGGGGAGTGAGAAGAAGGAACTGAAACGTAAGAGAGTATCCTCCGAGTCCTACACAAAATCGTTGGAATGGAATCTGACTCCCGTTGAGAGATCTTTAAAACTCACTTAGGTATTAAGATCCTAAAGAGTCTACTTCCTTATACAGAGGCAAAAACAACAATCAGGACATGCCAAACTTTGTGAATAAAAATCAAACCAAACTTACTACTTCTGTACTTTCCATTTTGTACTTTATTCTTAATCACACAGAAACAAAATATTTGGCCAGAAATTTACAAAAGTGTTACATTACATAAGCCTTGCAGATGAGGAGTGCAGTCAAGGGAAAATCCCAAGACGACACGAGCTAGCAGTACCCTCAACACTGGCGGCAATTAGCTCAAACAGCCGATAAGACCTAGATCTAGTAAGAACAGGTAAAAGCATCACGGTAGGAGAACAATATTATATGGCACCTGAACATAAGTCATTACTAATAGGGGTAAGAAAACACAGGGCGGAGCGCAATACATGTGTTGGAGTTTGCTTGTCTGTAAAAGCTGATACATATAATAATATAGGTTTTATATGACCTTAGCGAAAAGATGACCGCCCCTTGACAGAGATGACAACGCCTTCAAAATATAATATGTAAGTGTGAGTAGTCTTTTTAATTCGGAAATTTGCTTCCTTACAAAGTTACTTACTTACTTTGTCCTTGAACTACCAGGTACTCAAGGCAGAGAGCAGTCCACGACATGTTTATCTGTTCGTGGTCACTTATTTTAGTTTTGTCACATCTAGCTCCCAAGCGATTGCTTCATCCCTGATTGTACCGGCATTCTTATAACTGCCAGTTGGTGTACATCTTTTTCTATTCCTATTTATTGGTCTCCAGTACCATGTCTGAAAGGACAATCTTGTATTCTCCGGTATTTTCAAAACATCTCCCAAATATCTCCGTCTTCGTATTGATATATATTCAATCGTATAGCTCTCTCCAACATTTGTTTCCTTGGAAATCATGAGTTTCTTATTCAATTGCCCAACTATTCAGATTTCATTTTATTGGTTCCATGACTAACACATTTTCGGATTCAGTTCATCGTAAAAATCTACTTCAGCCTTCTGTTCGGAACGTACTTGACCTATTAACAATGCATATCTGGGGCCCCAACTCCATACATGGGGCTAACATAGGGCAGTCGTGACGTCATACCCGAAGGACTACATATAATATTTTAAATTATTCCATGAATGGGGACTGAAGTAGACTGCTGCCCAACACTAACACAGATTCATATATCTAGATCTAGATCTTAAGGTCTTTTCAGGATTTGTTTTCTGGACTTTGCTGCCATTCTTTATTTTACTTTGCAGATGTAACTTCCAATATGTAGATCGAACTTATCTTCAAGAAATCAGTTGTGAATAAATCGTTTGTACGTGTCACTAATGCGGCTTAAAAAGATATTCTATGATGATGTTATAAGTTATACTGACTACTTTCCCGCTATAAGAGCCCCGTTTTTACCACGTCCCATCTTTCCAGTCCAAATTTGAACGGAATGACTTGGTCTGAGAGTTGAGAAACAGGAAAGGAGAGGGAATAGAGGGCGGGATGTAGAGACAAATTCCGAAATTTAAATTGTACTGAGACAAAGTTGTGTGTCGTCTGCCTCACTCGGTAAGCTTCACATACAGATTTAAAGACAATATATTATGTTCATGCATACGAACGGAAACCGATCAGAAGTATTCGTGACCTAGTACCCATCCGTTTGTAGGGTCTCTGCGAGGGTAAGAAGAACGTGTAGAGAAGCCACTGCTCGAGGCACCAGAAGGGGGCGGTGGCTGGGGCCGATGAGCCTGTCGAGCTGTTGTTTGCCGTGATAAGAACGCCGAAGGCTTAAGTAATACTGAATCTGCAGACTCTCTTTCATGTGAGTAATGAGTATTATTAGGGAGAGTCACGTCACGGGATCGATGCAGTGCGTTTGATTGATGTAGAGGGGACGGATATGAAGAAAAGTTCAAGTTTTTAGTCGTTTGAGAGAAACCACTGCGGGACTGTTGGCGGTAAGGGTTCAGATCTCGGGAGGAATAATTGCGTGAAGTAAATACTGAGTGGGAGTTTGGTTGGTAGTACGGATTATCACGTGGCGGGGCCGCTCGGGCTTCGCCTTTCATATGGAAAGAAGTGTCAGTGTTCTTGGATGACCGTACTGAGGTCTGGGGGTGGAGATCCCCGAAGGAGCTTGGCGAGTTATTCAGATGACTGTACCTGGCTCTGTTTTCGTTTTGGCTCGAAGAAAGACGATGGTACTCTGGAAATCTTTCATATAAACTATTTTGTTGAGACAGCGGGACTCTGTCTTTTGGAGAGAAAGAGAGCTCTTCGGAATGCATACCCGGGGTTGTAGTGTAAACATTACAGTTTGCGAGCTTCTGGGCGGGGTTTGTGGGTGGATACGGTGGCGGCTGCCACGGTCTCGTACTAGAGGATCTAATACCATTTTCACTAAGCCGTGGCATGTCCTCATAGAACGGAGTCTCGCTTCTGCCATTCGGACGGTTGGAGTTCCCTATTGGGTGTTGGGCAGGATGCATCGTTTCTACGTTGGGTGGCTGGTTTTTGTCCGCAGCGTCACTTTTCTCGTCACTAGCCAGCATGGCCTGAAGACTGAAGTAGCAGGTGAAACCAGAGAGGATGAACATCCCACCCCCTGCCCCAGCGAGCCAGAGCGAAAAACCCACCTCTGGACGGAGCGGGAAAGTCAGTTTTCGGGCGTCTCGGAGGTAGGCTATGTAATAGGCGGCAAAGCCACACAGAACCATCAAGCCTAGTAAGAGAGAAAGGGGGATCTATTATGGATCACTTTAAGTAAAGTTTTTACCAGCATGTATAAAAATATTATGCATTTGGAGGAATGAGTCATGCACATTAAACTGTGCTATTAGGAATATTATTAGAACAAAAATGCATCAAAACAAAATAAGGTAAGCCTATAGAGCTACTCAATACTGTATACATGATGTAGTTTGATTTTAAACGAAGAAGAGTGTCCACATCTTCTAATACTTCTGTTCTAATTTATGATATTTGTTCAAATCAACAAAGTAAAGAAGTTTCAACAATTGAATCGTGTTTGTTTAACAAGAACTCCTCTGTGATTTGGTGTGAATTTATTGGTTTGTTCTAATAGGTTTGCCTTTATTATTGTCCTTGTGATATTGTGCTATCTTTTTGAGTCTCGATTTTTTCATTTTTTCTTAGGTGTTGTAGTCCATTGAGGTTCTATGGAGATAATTGTTCAGAAAATCATTTTAAAGTATCAGTCTTTTCTCCAAAACGTTGCATCTAAGGCACAATTTAGAGACAGGAACATTTTACTAGCCACTACCAGTAAATCAGAAAAGCAAAATGCTCATGTGGTTTTACACATTTGTGATATTATCAAACATACATGTAAGAAGAAATCTAAGAATGTTTCTTTTTCCCAAATCCACCATTACCTCGCACAGGTTTGGTCAGCTAATCAAAAATGGAGGAAGAGGAGGAGTGGGAGGGAGGGAGAAGAAGACGAAGAATAACAACAACAACAAAAACGACAGCGGCAACAATAACATCAAAACAAAAACACTACTACTACTACTGCTGCTGCTGCTGCTGCT